CCCTCTCCTCCGTGGCTTTTCCTCAGCTAATAACCCCGCTCCGGCCCTTCCCAGACCTTCAGAATGGAGACGCGCTCCGGCTTCTTTCATCTCTTCCCACCCCTACCCGATCCTCTATCAACAACCAAGAGCGGAAAAGAATGGCCGCTGGGGTCGCCTCACTCACTTCCCCGCCAGGTCCTTGTGGGAGCCGCTGGAGCTCATGAGCTGGGTCAGCTCCTGCCTCACGGAAGCCGCCATCTTGCTCGCCCGTCCCTCACGGGTGGAAAGACAACACGGGCTGCTACGACGCCGCTGCGTAACCACCGAGCGGGCCCGCCTAGAGAGGATGGGCGCTGATGTGTTTCTCTCTGTGTGTGTCTATCTGTCTCTGTCTTTCCCCCCTCCCCCACCTCGCTTCTCATCTCCCGGAAACGGCTCACGACAGGTGGGCGGGCAGAACACCGGAAGTCGGCCGACCTTTGAGGAGGGAAGGCGGGAGAATGGAGCGGAGACGAGGGGGGGGTGGCTAGGGGAGGTGGATGAGGCTCCGTAGGGGTGGCGCGACGTCGGTTGTCAAGGCGCCGTAGCCGGCTTATTATGGGATGCGGCGGCGTCGGAATGGCGCGAGGCGCGTGATTTTGAACCGACGCGGAGCCCTGACATCGGGCTCGGGCTGCTGTGGGGTGGCCGGGCGGCCCCGCGCGGGAGCGAGCCCCGGGCCAGGCACGCGCCGGCGGAAAACAGACGGGGAAGAGCGAACGGGGGAAGGAGCCAGCGAGGGGCCCCGGCAGGTGAGTTGGCGGTGGGGTGGTGGCGGTGGCGGTGGGCTTAACGGCGAGCGGCGAACGCCCTGACAGGACCGGCCCGCCTTGCCCAACGGGGCGTGGGTGGGTGTGTGGGGGTGGAAACTGACGACGAAGGAGACTGCCTGGCCGAGCCTCCTGTGACCGCCGCCTCCTCCTCAGGGCGGGGACTGCCAGACGGACCCGGGTTGGGAAGCGCTGTGGTTGGAACCGCAGGCGGTGTGCTGAGACCCGACACCAAGGCGGTTCCGTCTCCGCTTCAGGTGAAGGGCGAGAGGCGGCCTTCGCTCCGTGGTGATGGTGGGTGGGGAGAAGGAGAGGGAACTGGAAGAGGGCGGGAAGGTTTTCGCGTTCGCCCTTTTAGCGACGATCTAATGCAGGGCTCTCCAACCTTGGCAACTTTAAGCCTGGAGTGGGAGTTGGAAGTCCTCCGGGCTTAAAGTTGTCAAGGTTGGACACCCCTGATCTAATGGATGGACGGGCGAAATTTGACCCTCGGTGGTGCATTTTTTTTTTTTGGGTGGGTGGGTGGGTGGGTGGGCTCTTCAAATACTTTTGCCACTGCTGTAAAAGGAAGAAAACGAACAGAATATATACCTAGGACCTCTACCTAGGATCGAACTCACTGCCTCCTGATCTTCTAGTCCAGCCCCCTGCTCAAGCAGGAGAACAAGTGTCGGTCCAGTCTCTTCTTAAGCCTCCAGTGATTTATTTTAATTATTAGAATTTGTCAAACGAAAATGAGAAGAAGAATAAAAGAGAATAAAAATATAATGACAGGGACGATAGGCACATTAGTTATGCACTTATGCACCCCTCTACTAACCACTTAAGTATGATGTAATTTAATTTACCTAGCTTCCCAAAACAAACTCCAAACATATGTCCAGGGCTGTGAAAATGATAATAACTTAGTTGGGAAAGTCTTTGTGTGTGTGAAAGAGGAAGAAGGGAAGAAAAAGTTTAAAGTACATTTTGTCTGCATGTATATGGTAGTGATACCTGCCCTGTCATTTTCTTTTTGGGGGGAGGGAGGGGGTGTCAGCCACCTTTATACCAGGTGCAGAAAAGGAATGAAAAAGGAAATCAAAGACTTGCTAGATAAGATGATTAGGTGCAGATAGATGTACATATTATCTCCACAGCTAAGGAAGAGAAAGCAGAAATGGTTGTATTGATTATTTTATTCAAAGAGGAGAATATGTTTAAGTATGTTTGGATATCACTTCTGGATTTTGTTGCTTCGGGGACAACATTCCCAAGTACTTTGTCAGTGCTTTGAAATGAGAAACCAAAGAGAATATTTACCTAGCTTCCCAAAATAAACCCTTAACATGTCCTTGGCTGTGAAAATGATAACTTGGTTGGAAAAGTCTTTGCTTTTTTTGTGAAAGAGGAAGAAGGGAAGAAAACGTTTAAAATAAATTTTGTTTGCATGCATACCTGCCCTGTCACTTTCCTTTTGGGGTGGGTAGAATCAGCCACCTTATGCCAGGTGCAAAAAAGGTGTGAAAAAGGAAATAAAAGACTTGCTAGATAAGATGAATAGGTGCAAATAGAAATGCATATAATTTCTACAGAAAGGACTATAAAGAAGAAATTGTTAAACTGATTATTTTATTCAAAGAGGAGAATATATTTAAGTATGTTTTTCATTTTGTACTTGTAATGAAAAAAATGCAACTTTGATTTTGGTTTCGTCAAGTAGATGGATTTGTCATTATAGGAATGGCTAGTTGTATACTAATGTGTAAAAACAAGAAGTTGAGGCTGGAGTATTTTTATCTTCTACTGTGCTAAAAGGACTTAGAAGTCAACACCTTTTTTTTTCTTTTTTCCTTTGTACCTTACATTTTCTTCCCAGCTCTCTTTTTCCCTTCCCCAATTTCCCATTTTTATTTTTCTTTGTATTTTATATGTGGATAAAACAATAAAACCCACATCCTGGATAAAGACTTGCTAGATAAGAAAGAAGAATACAAGCAACTCTAATGGACACCCCCAACATTTATTAGTTTTTTCTATACTTGGCTGGCTTTGCAGACAATTCTTGCTTCCATTACTATACTTCATGTTTTGTCTTATTTTTATTATCTAATCAGGATTCAAAAAACAAGTCTGTTTTGTGTGTGTGTATGTGTGTGTGTGTGTATGTATGTATGTATGTATATATATATAATTTGCTATTAAACGAGTCTCAATTTGTCCTTATCATAAATAGATGTCTTTTCTCCTACTTTTGGCAAGTACATTTCAGTTCCATAGAATTAGTATCTTCTGAAACTATGATGAACCATTCTTCAGAAAACAATAGATAATCCAAGAACAAATAGGTTTATACTGTATAAAGCATGCACACTCACTGTGGGTGAATGGAAGACTATATAAAATATATTTGAAAATCAATATGTTGACTGATAAGTTGCTTTATTGCTACATTGACAGTGAAAATTATGTTGGGAAGTTGAAGTAAATCTACAGAGTACTTAGAGCCAATAGTAATAGCATATGGCTCTGGAGGACCCAAATTTTTCATGGGTTGCATACAACATTGGGCCATACATTGTGAGCTTCTGTTCTATAATATAATAGTTTTAAATATAAATTAAATGGATTGCGGGTTTTTTTGTGTCCTTGGTGCTGTCTGAGCTTAACTTTTTGCTTGCAGACTTTATTACCAAACTATAGAATGAGCAAGTAACATTAGCAAGCAAACAACCAAGATCAGAGAGCACCAAGAACTCCCCAGTTCAACCCAGAATATATACATATATTCTCTTCTGATGGGATCTATTTTGTTCCCTCTGGATTAGTGCCAATGTAGGAAAAGGAATCAGGCTTTTATCCTATTTTAAGTGTAGGCGGTGGTATTCAGACTACTGATCTGATAACAGCTGAAAATACAGTATATAGCAATCTTGGCATATACAAATTTTTCCTTGAAGTTTTTGGTCATATGATTGTTGCAGCCAATGATTATTTGTGCTGATTGTGCTGATGAGAACCTAGAATAGAGAAACCTAAATTTGCCCAGATGTTGAATTGTTGTAAATTGGCAACAACTGGGAATTACATATTATTTATTCTTGTGCTTATCTACAAAATAACTTGAATACATTCATGTGTTTAACATTTGTCATTCTACAGTGCCATATTCATTTGACTATTAAGAGGTGTGCCAACTGCTTTTAGAAGCAGTGCCTGTCATTCAAAGAAACCCAAGGCTCAAATTCCTTCCGCAATTTTACCTCTTCAGCTTTACTTCTGAGTAAATATGTATTATGTTAGTTCACTCAAGCCCTGTAATTCTTTGTTTCCTGTTTTGCCTTAGTTTGCTCTGCTGATTTGTATCGTTCTTGAGAATTTTGCAGGTGACCCAAGTAAATATTTTCTGAGATACTCTACACAGTTGTCTATAGAGATTCTCAGTTATCCAGGTCGTGGTTGTCCCAAAGGTGCTTTTTTTTCCAGGAGACAACTGGACTTTCTGGTTTTTCTTTGAAGACATTTTGCTTCTCATCCAAGAAGCTTCTTCAGTTCTGACTGGATTGGTGGGGAACAATTCAATCAGAGCCAAAGAAGCTTCCTGGATGAGAAGCAAAAAGTCTTCAAAGAAAAACCAGAAAGTCTAGTTGCCTCCTGAAAAAAAAAAAAACACCTTTGGCACACAGTTGTTGTTTTCTCTAACTGCAGCACCTGTACTGTATTTTTGCTCTTGCATTTCTGCACTACATTTTCAAGATCTTCCAGGCCGGTTTCTGTTAACATCAACCATCCGATGTCCCCCACCCCCCCTTCCTCTGCTCGCAGGGTTAACAAACACTTTCCGTCCCATTTTTAACGCGAGCAACTGGACCCTGAGCGAGGATTCCCCCGTCCATCCGAGATGAAACGCTTCTGCTCATAGAAAATCCGCCACTTTTTCAATGGTGCAAACCACGGCAGCCTGTTAAGGTGCCGCGCGGGGACTGGGAGGCGGCCGATCCACCCGGTGGCGGCGATGCCGGGCCGAGTCCCCCCCCGCTTCCTTGCCCTCCGCTTGCGCCTTGGTCTCGGGGCGCAGGTCCTCCGCTCTGCTCCGCCGGCCGTCAAGGCAGGTCCGGCAGGGCATCTTCCCCGGTCCTCCTTTCCTGGCGGTGGGAGGGCTTCCCTGGGCGGGCTCCGGGGCGGAGGCGAGCCCGGCGGGAGGAGGCCGGGGTTGTTGCGGAGCTGGGGCTGCCAGGGTGATGACGAAGTGAAAATGGCGGATCTTTCGAAATCCTATCCCGGCCCTTGACATTCCAGAAGCGGCAGCTCACCAGCCCGAAGAGGCTCTGCCCGCTGGCTGCCAGAGGCCCTCCAGCTGGCTCTGCCCCCCAGCCGGTCAGACCCCGCCCGCCCACCCGGGAGCTGGCACCGACCAGCCTGGAAGGACTCGCGGCTGCCTCCCGGAGAGGGTGAGCAAAGGGCGCATCGAGGTCCGGGCAGCCCTGGCTGGAGCCGATCGAGCGGGGCCTTGCTTTGGATGCAGGTGTGGCGTCCCCCGAAGCGCCCTGCTTGTGCCGCTGAGAAAGGCGTTGGGAGCTCCCGAGGCCTAATTTTCTTCCCGGGGGCCGATCGAGAGGTGTCCAGCTGTGCCACAGTTTACTGGGAGGATTAGGGCTGGCGGGGCTGGGGAGGTGGTGATGGTGGCATTTTTCTGGAGGAATCCAGCCTGGGGCTTGCTGGTTATTCTGAGTTGCCCGGGAAGTATTCTTCATCCTTTGCTGTACAGGGTAGGGAAGAATACGAGTACTTAAAAGTGCTTGTGGGATACAAAAGGGTCTGAAAAACTAATTTCAGAGCTGCTCTTTCCCACCTTAATGGGTGTGTTTCAAAAGCCATCTCTTTTAATTAGCACTTGTGAAAGCTTCCACCTGTGTTTAGCTGTTCATATTTAAAATAACATTTTCAAGATCTTCATATTTAAAATAACATTTTAAATATGAACAGCCAAACAGAGATGGAAGCTTTCACATGTGCTAAGAGATTAATTAGATTCATTAACTTTTGAAAAGTGAAGAAAGCTCAGCATAGCAATCAATAAATGAAAGTAGTAAAATAAAAGTTATTAGGAAAAAAAAATTAGGGTTTTCTCCTCTTTTTAATAGGAGGCTGTGGATGCCAAGGGTGATTTAGGACAGGTCCTATTCCTGGCAAAAATGCTGTAGATGAGTGATAATTATTCCACATAATGCCTCTGGGAAAAAAACATTTTTATTTAACAGCTCAGTCCTAAAGTGCAGCAAATTAATCTTTGTTGTTTAATTTATTTCAGGGTAGAACCATTTTTCTATAAATCTGTAGCTCTTCCACCGCTTTAAACTTTGTAGTAGCTCTATTTTATAGATCTTATTAAATATCTGATTAAATAAATAAATCTGATTAAATCTGATTAAATATTATAGGGTTGATTTTATACCCCAAAACAATTAGAAATGATGTATTCAAATGATACATTAGAAACTAGCTCAGTACCCGTGCTTTGCTATGAAACTTTGTGGTCGGGCTTAGTTTTGGGGGAGGAAAATAAGGGGGGGAAAATTCTGTCTCTGCCTACCAGCATCCATCCGTATTCATCTGGCTAGCGTCCTGTCAGTGTGAGAGAGAGTTGAGGACTGTTTGGAAACTGAAACAGTATTTGCTATGTGAGCAAGGAGACTGGGCATGGCTTAGCTCAACTGTTCTGGATAGGTGGGGAGTGGGTGTAGAACTCCTTAGCATCAGAGCATGTTTATAATATACGAAATTCTAATGCTCTGATGGTCATTTTGAAAAATCCTTTCTTAGTGAGCACCTAGAAGCCAGGAGGGACATAGGTGCCAAATTTTAAGTTTGGAGGCTTTACGGTTCTGGAGATTTTGTGATGATGCATGAGTGGTATTTTGCTTTTATATATAGAGATAATAATAAAACATACCTGATAATGTAAACAAGAGATTCTTTTCTATCTCCCTCTTCTACAGTTGTATTTAAAAGACCTCATTCTAAAATAATACATAAAACACAAATATAAGGCATTGCAAATTATTTATTATGCAATGTAAGGTATTTCAACTAGCGTAGAAAAGAATTGTGCTTATTTTGAATTCCAGTTACTTACAGTATTTGATGGAGTATTTATCTTTTTTGCTTTTAAAAATATTGGCAGAAGTATAGGAGAACTGTATGTTTAGATAATTATATAAATTTTATATTGTATGCTATAAAATGGAAACCAACACTGCAGATTACTTTCCTGTTTTTGATATATGTTACATTCTTAAGTTAAATATTTTTACATTTTCAAAAACTATACAATCTGGTTTTTACCTCTACTATACCTTGCTATGCCTAAAATCTCAAAATTTATCACAATTAGATTAGATTCTCAAGTAACAGTAAGATACAGTATATGTAACATTGGGCTAATGAACACTCTACATTTCCAAGACTTTCTATCATTAGGAATCTACTAAGTCCCAATTCTTTTTTAAAAGGCAATTTCATTGCCAAATATGTGAGATACAGTTCATGCAGTGACTTAGTTCCGATCATGGATTAAACAGAAACAAAGGGTTCCAAAACTCCTTAATGAAATATATCAATTAGTTCACCAGTGAAAATATGTTTTGTAAATGGTTGCTATCTTTAGATAATTATGCTTTTTGCCCTCTTGTTTCTCCTTTCTTCTGTCCTTATCCAGGCATGAGTTTTATGCCAGTATCATAATATTCAAAACGTGGAAATTAGAATCCATGGAAGCTTATGATCAACTTTGTCTTTTAGGCAAAGACTGGCTTTATTATGTTCACTACAAAAGGCTAGCGTGGGTTATCTCTGGAAAGTATTAATTTTGAGAAGGGAGCATAAAGTAGAGCAACTTCTATCTATTTCCTCTAAAACATGCATATTTCTTCTTCAAAAAATGTTCAGGAGCGCTATAAATATTAGATGTAGAATTGGAGAATCCAATTTTTTTACTTAACGGATTTTTTTCCAAGAAATTCTAAGTTCAGTCAGTTTACTTACACTAGCATTGCAAGCTTATGTTGAAAAAATGTTGCACATTTGAGTAGTCCAAAGAAGGATTTATCAGTAAATTCAAATTTTACCTAAGAGCAGTTGATATAAGCCTAGTGATAGTATTAATTACAAATAATTCTCATCCAGTAATGACAAGTGAAAATTTTAATAAAACCTGGCTATAATCTTGGATTTCATGGCCTATAAATCTGAAATCAAAATATTTATTATAACAAAGTTAAATAAGGTCCGCATAAATGTAAACCACTTATTAAACATGAAATAGTTGGTGAGCTTATAGTTAAAATGTTAAAAAAAAATGCTGAAGTCAAGCACATTGTTTTATGAATGACTAAACCACCAATCCTGTAGCCTGTTTTAATTATTAGTCATAAAATAATACAGTCATAAAGAACCTTTTTAATCAGTGACCCAAACTATTAGTATTTCATTAATGTATGAGAATACTTTGTAGATAAGCCTTTAATTATGCATGGGAATTTTATATAAATAGTCTGTTTGCTATTTATAATTAACTTTGAGGAACTAAATGCAACTTTTCATGTAGTGTTGATATCTGGGATAATGTTGCCTGAACAGAGAGGCTTCTATATAAAATACATTTTCTGATGAAATCTAGTTGTAGAAAAAATAACGTCCTTATTGATGGATGTTAAAGTGAATAGACATACAACTGGCTGTTTTCATGTGTACAACACATACCCACACATCTCAATTATACAATATTGTTGTATTTCCTCTAAGTCAAAAATTCTTACTGTGTATTCTCATACATAAGAATACACTCTCTACAAAAATCAGAGCTAAAAATAAGCACTCTTTAAAAACAAATATCCATTTGAACCCACCATAGCCAACTATTAGAATACCAACCTGTTCTTTTGTAGTAATTTTTCCATTTCCCACTCAGATCCTGAAGTCGGGTTTTGAAAAATGGGAGGGGTTTCCAGAAGGTGGCCCCATGTCATGTAGGCTTTAAAGATTATAACCAGCATTCAATTGGACCCAGAAGGAAATTGGCAACCAGTTCAGCTCTGGATCAGAGGTATAGCATGTGCAGTCCTAGGGCACACATCACTGTCAGTGTCTCAAAAATGCTTTTCCCAAAAGGCCCCTGGACTTTCTCAGGTTTCTTTTCTTTCTTTTTTTCTGAAATGTTTTGTTTCTTGTTCAAGAGCTTCTTCAGTTCTAACTGAAACTGCTTCTAGCTTCTAACTGAAAAAGCTTTGTGGAGGAGAAGCGAAATGTTTTCAAAGAAAAACCCAAGAAATCCACTTTGCCTTTTGGAAAAAGTACCTTTGGGACAACCATGACCTGGGTGATTGAGAATTTCCACAGACATAACGGCCAGGGCCTCCACATTTGGCATCAGCTGAAGTTTCTGGATTCTCTTGAAGGGGTAGCCCCATGCAGAGCGCATTATAGTAGTCCATTGGGAAATGGGCACACTTGGTGACAATACAAAGCTGCATAACGGCCTTCCTAGCCATGCCTGGAACCTGCTCTTTGAGCGGGAATTGTGAGTCCAGAAGGACCTCAGATTGCACTTTGCTTAGGGCAATGCAGCCCCACTGAGAGCCCCAAAGATCCAAATCTCCAAATCCAAAAGACCCTACAACCTAAAGCCCCTCAATCTTGCCAGATTCATCTGAAGCCTTTTGTTCCCCTTCTGCCTTCAGGCACTTTGTATCTATAATTGACCTTGACAAAAAAAAAATCAAAAGTGAAGGAAAATATCCTGACAGTATAGCATTTTCTCAATTTAGGATGGATCTGAAAATAACAAACATTGTTATCTTTTGCAGCTGCAGCACATGGTGCTGCACGATGATGTTTTTGGAGGTGCCCTGATGTGAAGCAACAGGAATTTAAAAGAAATTCAGGTAATTAGAAATACTTCTATTTCACAAAATCTCTTGTCACCGCTGCATGGCACCAATGTCCTATCTAGACATAATGACAACATGTCAAGCATTTTGCACCCTCCCTACTTTCATCATAATATTGAGTTTAAATATGAATACCCAACATTCTTTTCAATACTTTGCTTCTGTAAAGCTGGATAACAATAATACTGTAATACGTATTTTGTTTTATAGAAATGGAGTTATAGTGCTGCTTTGGCTAGCCACGGGGCTAGCCACGGGGCCCCCTTCTTGCCCCAACCCAAGTCTCTTCATGCAGCAATGGTGCCACTGGGAGGTTTTGAATAAATCTATAAATATTGTTGTACACAGGGGTCACTTTCAGAGAGTTCGCTGTTGAAGAAGGGTGGGATAACTTGTCCCTCTGTACTGTCATTTCCAACAAAAATCCTGCCAGCCCAGTGTTTTGGTTTAATGAAAGCTTACGTTGTCAACAAAGGAGGTTATTTTAAAACAAATGAAATCCCATTTGGCTATAGTTTATATTTTGGTGAGTAATGGGTTAACCATCCTCTCCCTATGTAATAGAAAAACTAAGTGTCTTCCAGTCAAAAATATAAGTCATGCTTCTGCCATTGGGAATTTTTTTCAGCCTTAAAGCATTATCCTGGAAGGGAGGAAGGCTTCCCCAGAATGGCTGAAGCTGAAAAAGATCTTGTTGCTGATTATTCAGTATATTTATGACTAATAAGTGATTAGAACTGGGAGTACTCTGATTTGCAGCCCAAGCTCCTGGTTTCTGAGGTGTAATAATCCTTTCAATATAATTAGTAACTATTCTTATTAGCTAATAGATTTGTATGTATGGGGGAAGGGATGCTAATGATATATTTATCCACAGTTGCTAATATATCACTTCCACAATTATATAGCTGTCCAGCTATGACACATCTGATGTTTCAAGTTATATAGTTTGGTGGAACGTGAAAATTGGACATTTTTTAAAAAAAATATCACTGCAGTGGCTTCTGTTGAATCTACTACCATCAACGCCTGCAAAATGGAGGTTGTGTCAGCAGAAGTGAATAGCTTGCTCCCCGAAGAGATCATGGACACAGGTATAACATTGGAGGAAGATGAAAACATCGAAGCTGTAATTGTGGGTGACCATATTCCTATGGAAACAGAACTGGAGGGAATAACAAATGTGAGCTCCGCTGATGATCATGCTACTACTGGCACACCATCGGTCACTACGGAATCTGTCACATTGCCCAGCAATTGTGTTAGCCCCATTACCGGCAATTCTGCCATTGTAAAATCTGATGCCAGTGTGACTGCACAACCTTCTTTTCAAAGCGGCCTCCAAAAACTAGGCACCCAGACTCCCGTCTCTCTACCAGCCAATCAAATTATTCTTAACAAAGCAACGGACTTGAAAATTGGTAAACAGGCCATAAAGCAGGAAGGTCAAAAACTCATAGTAACAACTCTGGGCAAGCCCGGACAACCCATTGTCTTAGCGCTACCCCACAACCAGCTGTCACAGTCTCAGAAGACCACATCGCAATTACAAGCAAGCGACTCCAAAGTTCCAGCCCAGCAGTTCAAGGTGGTCACAATTGGCGGAAGGTCAGAGGTGAAACCCGTCATTGGTGTCTCTACCTTGGCTCCAGGGTGCCAGCTGGTAAATACGGCAAACCAGTCATCCGTACTGCAGTCCCAGCAATTAAAAGCAGTGCAGGTAAGAAGGGTTTTTTATCAATTATTCCCTTTGCAATAAAATTGATGTACCATTGGGAATTCCCTTTGGCGGCAGCCATTGGTCCGGAGGACAGCTGGCCAGATTAAAAAAAAACCAACTCAATAAATGTCTAAAAAAGCAAGTTCTAAACCAAGGATGTTAAAAGACAGTGGAGATTATGAGTAATTTTAAATAATAAACTAACTTGTCCGTCAAGATGAGGTTGTAGCAGCACGTATCAGAAAGTGTTTGCTCCAAATTACCAAACTTTTGGAAACTTGACTTTTCCCCAGGACTTGATTTTGTTGAGGGGGTCAGCCTCTTTCGGGATTATTTTGAATGTTTCCTCTGGGACATATCCCAGTCTTTCCTTATTTTGGTTTCTGTTGTTTTTAATGTTGCATGCTATCCAGAGACTTACTGAGTTGATCAATTCTCTAGAGTTAACCGATCAATCAGATGATTAGTAGACGTGAAAATTGGCAGTTTGGAGCCTTAAGACTGGTCTTGTTCAGGTCTAGTGAAGAACAAAAGTACACACTGTGAAGAAAAATGTGGAAAGGAATGGCAACTATGTATAGGCAAGCATATAAACATATGCAAAAATTTAAACCTCAGTTTAGCAGTGATTCGTGAGGGTAAGTATAAGCTCAAGAACTGTAAGTCTTCATGTCCATGTCTGAAGAATACTCCTTTGTTTCTGGCCTATTATGAAAAAGAAAAAAATGATTAATCTATATTTACAATTAACTTTTGTTTTTGCTTTTCACAATAGGCCAAAACCAAAGGAATATTCTTCAGACAGGCATGAAGACTTACAGTTCTCGCGCTTATAATTACCCCCACAAATCACTGCTAAACTGAGGTTTAAATTTTTGCTTATGTTTATGTGCTTGTATATAGAGTTTTCATTCTTTTTCACATTTTCTTTACCCAGTGTGTACTTTCAGCTTTTTTGCTTTTAATCCAGTTTGGGAAGATTCTTATTCATAATAAAAGGATATACATGTAGTGAGCCAATGTATGAATCTATTAACTGAGTCATTTATTTTGCCTCCCATACCTCTATTACACTCCTAATCCACCCCACCCACCCCCATCTGCATATACAGGTAGTCCTCAACTTACAACAATTCTTTTAGTGGCCATTTAAAGTTACAACGGCACTGGGAAAAAAGTGACTTGTGGCCCTTTTCCACACTCCCTACCTTTGTAGCATCCCCATGATTATGTGATCAAAATTCAGATGCTTGGCAACTGTTGCATACTTACCTGTATTATGCAATCTGCATTAAAATTATAATTGCCTTGGGCCAAGAATTCTCCCTTTCTTAAACTCTGCAAAGAACTAGGACTATTTAGGCCATGATAGTGAACCTATGGCATGCATGCCAGAGGTGGCACTCAGAGCCCTCTCTCTCGGCATGCGAGCAGTTACCCTCACCTCAGCTGGTCTTCGGGACTCTGCCACGCATGCATGGGGGGGGGGCAGGGCATACGCACAAGGGGCTGCACGTGCATGCACGGGGTGGGACGCATGCACGGGGGTTGCGCACGCCTGCAAGGGGGAGGTGCATGCACGGGGCACACACGCGTTGCATTTTGGGGATGCGCATGCATGTGTGAACTTTGGGCACTTGGTGCCGAAAAGGTTAGCCATCACTGATTTAGGCCATGTTTGGCCAATCTTTTGGCTTGTCTGGGCTGCATTAAGTGAAAAGGAATGTCTTGGGCTGCATGTAAAACATATAATATGCACAATGTATATAAATAACATCTTGTGGGGTCTTAGCACTAGCTGTTCAGGGCCGCATGCAGCTCATGGGCTGTGGGTTGGACATTCCTGATTTAGGCTACAGCCATTCCTCACTTGCTGGATCCTTTCCCAGTACAGGTAGTCCTCAACTTATAACAATATTTGTTGTATTTAATGTGATATTCTTTTACTTTTGTTTTTTTGGGGGTGTGTGTATGTGTGTGTTTTGGTGGAGTTGGGCCAGGGGTGATTCTCCCTTACTTCTGATTGGTCAGTGATTTGCAATGATTGGATTTCATTGGATTTTTCATTGTTTTTTTAGATTGCTAAGAAAACCAGGACACCAACTTCAGCTCCCGTGATAGCGAAACTCATCATCACCAAACCAATCAATAGCAAAGCAGTTTCAGGACAGACAACTCAAGTATCACCAGTCATTGCAGGTTTATATCTAAATATATATATATATATCTTAATGGCTTTTTTCATGTCGTAATATTTACCCGGGGAGTAACAGATGAACGGGAAATATAAAGTGACATTTGATGGATTTTAATTTCCCAGTTTTCCATTGGATTTTCCATTCCTGGTTTCTTTAAATTTTTCCAAACAATGTTACCTATAAGCATTGGGGGGATATTAGTGCCAGTGTTCCAAGGAAATGCTCAAAACAATTCAGAACTCTGAGACAAAATCCATCATGGTAAGAATTTATTAGAGAAGTCACCTTGGCACATCTGGGGAAAACCCCAAAACCTGAATCTGAGATCCCACGTTTTCCCCCACCCGCTTTAAACTCAACCCCTGCCCTGTTCAATGACAAACACATCAAAAGCTCCAAATCAATCTGGATTCTCTGTTGCTGCCAAACTTTCCATAACAGACACGGAAAGCCCCCAAACAGCTCTCTGTTTTCCAGATATTTATGGTGCATCTTTTGCTGCAGAGGACACCTGGTGGGGGGAGTTTGGGAGTTGGTCCCTCCCTTTGGAGGGTACCCAGATTAGGGGAACCAGCGCTAGAAGTGATGCTGTCCAGATATAGGGGGATGATGAATTCTAGAATTCCCAACTAAGGCAACCAACGGCTCTGCTGACTGGGAATTCTGGGAGTTGTCATCCAAACAATAACACATCCTGTATTGTGTTATTTTGAGGAAAGTTGCTCTAAATGCAGTGTTTTTGTCAACTTTAGTTACTTGGGTGGACTTCGACTCTGGATTCTGGAAACTGAAGTTCAACCATCTTAAAGTCGCCAAGGTTGAGAAACACTTAATTTAGAACATCGTTCAGTGTAAAAGGGAGTGGGATTTTTAAGCTCCTGATTTATTTTATGGTTTAAATAAACGTTCTTCTAAGCACAGGTGCTTTGAATGGCAGCCATAAAAAGGACTGTTCTTTAGCCAAGTAGAAAGAATATAAAAGTTTATCAACTTATTTAGTTTAGTTTCATTTTAGTTTACTTTATTGTCATTGCACCTCGTACAATGAAATCAAAGACCATCTTCAGTGCACATCATGACCATGACAATAAACACATCCTTCACCCTCCACACATTGAACCGAAAACCCCCGACACCACACCAACACTGCACTATACAGAAGAATTCAAAAGAGCTACTGCCCTGGGATAGAACTTGTTTTTCAACCTATTTGTCCTTGTTTTTATTATTCTGTACTGTCTGCCAGATGATAATAGTTCAAAAAAAGGGTTCCCAGGATGAGATGGATCTTTGAGAATGTTATCTCTAGAAGTTTGGATCTTGGACTGATTACATGGGAAGACATGCAATCATCTTACCGTGTGCTAAATATAGAAAGTTTGCTAGTTTTATGAATATGTAATAAAGTGCAGAAATGCTCTCTTGCTTGGTTTTGAATTATGCTGTCATTCCATTTGGAATTATTGACAGGTTTTGTTGCTAAGAAATCAATATATTGATCATACTTATTATTTCAAGCATTCCTGCCCCATTTCAGCATATTTTAGCATACTTATTTTTCTATTAGAGCAAAAGATCAATCTTTTCTTAGGAAATCTTTTTTTTTCAGTGCAACAATGTTTGGAATTATTTACTTTTTTTTCTTTTGTCCAAGGGGGAAAAAGTCATATTAATTCTTATAATCAAGATTAATTGCTTCTCTTTCTTACTACAAAGGAATTATGGGGCAAACATTTCCAGATTCGGGTACAAAATGTACATAGGAGGGGTGGACTACAGAGGAAAGGGAGTTAAATTCTGGTATAAATTTATCTTGAATATTTTAATTTATTAAATTTGTATACCACCCGTCTCACTGATTGGGGTGACTCTGGGCATTATTTGATCAGATTTAATAAAAAAAATTATTTGTCTTTTGCTTTATTTTTTTTATTTATTCATTTAATTAATTTATATTGCCGCCTATTCGGCCATGGCAACTTGAGACAGCTTACACAATGTAAAACCACTTTTAAAACAAAAAAATAAAAAAGCTAACAAAAAGAATCAAATAAATTAGTAAAGTACAATAGAACAAAATTTGGAAAAAATTAAAAATCAACTCCCACCCCCCACCCCTACAACAGTAGATCACACTAGGCATTTGATGGGCTCCGTCCCTCTCTGGGTTCCCCAGGCCCTCTGGCAAAACCAGGTCTTCAGTGCCTTCCAGGAGAGAGCTAGAGTGGGGGCCATTCTAATCTCTGGGGGAGTGATGTTCCAGAGAGAGACGGAGCCACCACGGAGAAGGGCCTTCTTCTGGGTCCCACCAGGTGTATCTTGCTCAGGGGTGGGACCCACAACGTTCCCTGCCTCCTTACTTCTAATGGTTTGGGTAGACATGACCGGCAAGAGACATTCCCTCAAATAACCTGGACCCAAGCCATGAAGGGCTTTAAAGGTAACAACCAGCACCTTGAGTTGCACCTGGAAGCAAATTGACAACCAATGCAGCTCCTGCAGGAGAGGTGACACATGTGCACACCGGGGTCTGAACAAAACCATGTGGGCTGCTGCATTCTGCACCAACTGGAGCTTCCAGATGCTCTTCAAGGGCAGCCCCATGTAGAGCGTGTTGCAATAATCAAGACGGGAAGTGACCAGGGCATGAGTGACTGTGAGTAGGGACCATTGGTCCAGGAAAGGGCATAACTGATGCACGACCTGGAGTTGCGCAAAGGCCCTCCTGGCCACAATCACCACCTGCACTTTGAACAGGAGTTGTGAGTCCAGGAAAACCCCTAGATTATGCACAGAGTCTGTTTGGGGTAGTGCCACCCCATCCAAGACTAAAGGTGGTGATTCTCCTGAGCCAACGAACCCCAAACCCGGAGCCGCTTGGTCTTGCAAGGGTTTAGTTTCAACCCTTTTATGGTGTTTAACAAATACTTAAAACCAGAATCAAAATTGTATCAGCATTTTGGGATTATACTAAGATTTTTAAGTGAAGACCATTTTTTTTTTTATTGCCAAAGTACTGTTTTTTTAAAAAAATAAAGTAGTAGGTAAGCTATTCGAGAGAGAAATAATTCAGCGAAGTATGTAATATATTTTATAGTGCCACAAAATGTGAAAATTGCAGCAGGTTAAATTTAAATTGTATGTTTATTTTTAAAGTTAAGTGGTCTGCTTTTAAAAGCCAATTCTCTAGCTCATAGAAAGTGCTTATAATGCCTTTACCAGAAAATCATGCACTTTATCAGCTGAGAAGATGGGTAAGATTATATCTCAATTTTGTTTTTGTTTTTTACAGGTAGAGTTCTTACACAGACTGCTCCGGGGACACCCCCCAAAACTGTAACGATATCTGAAAGTGGAGTTATTGGGACAACTTTAAGTTCTACAATACAGGAGGCACCAAATAAGATAGCAATCTCCCCTTTGAAATCCCCAAATAAGGTAAACTTAACATTTCAATTGCTTATGTATATATTGAATGTCAGTCTCCAGTTTTCACATTTGAGACATATTGCTAAAAAATTCCACAGTCCATTCTCCTGTTTGCACAAATGGATTGGTATGAAAATGATTGGAATGGATTGGTACGTTCCACTTAAACGAAGTTAGTCTGATTTTGAAGGGGACTTCCTAAAGGGTCCCAGCGGTTTTCAGCTATTTTAGAATCATCTGCTCTCTTAGTATCCTTCTGCCATGGGAATTTGTGCTAAAGGGAAACTCACAAATCCTCCAAATAAAAATGAGTGTGAGAGAAAATACTATTTGAATCAGTGAAGGAATGTAGGTACAGGTAGTCCTTGACTTAAAATAATTCGTTTAGTGACCATTCGAAGTTACAAGGGCACTGAAAAAAAGTGACTCATGACCACTTTTCACATTTACGATTGTTGCAGCAGCCCCAGGGTCACATGATCAAAATCCAGATGCTTTGCACCTGATTCATATTTATGACGGTTGCCGTGTCCCAAAGTCATGTGATCACTTTTTGCAACCTTCTGACAAAGTCAGCAGGGAAGCCGGATTCACTTAACAACCGTGTTACTAACCTAACAACCGTAGCGATTCACTTAACAACTGTCTTGCTTAACATCAGAACTTTTGGACTCAATTGTGCGCTGTAAGTCGAGGACTACTTGTACATTGATACAGCTGTGCAAACTCTGGATTTGACAGACTTGTAGCTGCCACTGCCCCCACCCTTCCCACTACCTCCTTTCTTTTTTCTCTCCCTAGTTGATAATAGGTTTACTTTTTTCCAAAAGGGAGTAAAACAGCCCCAATGCCCTTTGGGTCCCCCTTGCTCATTATGCCTACCCATGTTGTGGAAAGCCTTGACCTCTTGCGCATTTGCAATGTTACATATTTTGAAGTTGGGATTCTGTACTTGTGTGATCCTGTTAAGCAGCTAACGATGGTGTCGGTCGCCTCGCAGCCTCCAAGCTCCCCACAGAAAACAGTCAGTGTTCCTCTAAACGTAGCCCTGGGACAGCAGATTCTCGCAGTGCAGCATTCAACGCCCTCTTCCCCGGGAAAAGCTGTAGCTAACAATACAACTGCTCAGGTACACACTAATCTGAGTCCTGTTCTGAAAGCCTGTTCTTCAGATTGTGATTTGCAGAATTGCATAGCTTCAGACACAATTGATCTTCCTTCCTCCTTCCCTCCCTCCCTCCCTCCCTCCCTTCCTTGAAAAGAAGGACTAGGGGTGACATGATAGCAGTGTTCCAATATCTCAGGGGCTGCCACAAAAAAGAGGGGGGTCAAGCTATTCTCCAAAGCACCTGAACATAGGACAAGAAGCAATGGATGGAAATTATTCAAGGAGAGAAACCTAGAACTAAGGAGGAATTTCCTGACAGTGAGAACAATCAATCAGTGGAACAACTTGCCTCCAGAAGCTGTAAATCAGGGGTGTCCAACCTTGGCAACTGTAAGACTTGTGGACTTCAACTCCCAGAAGCTGGCTGAGGAATTCTGGGAGCTGAAGTCCACAAATCTTAAAGTTGCCAACGTTGGACACCCCTGCTATAAATGCTCCAATACTGGAAATTTTAAAGAAAAGATTGGAAAACCATTTGTCTGGTTTCCTGCCTAAGCAGGGGGTTGGACTAGAAGAGCTCCAAGGTCCCTTCCAACTCAGCTCTTCTCTTCTCTTCTCTTCTCTTCTTCCTTTTTCTTTTTTCCTTTCCTTTCCTTTCCTTTCCTTTCCTTTCCTTTCCTTTCCTT